GTCATCACGTCCATTTTTGGGTCATGACAAAAGTAAAGTCAAGAAAACTATTTTTGTCAAATTAAAATAACTTGACTTCACCACTATCATATTAAAGTTGAAAAATTGGATTATTTTATCCATTGATGAATATACAATTGCAAACAAAATATTTTTTTCAGAAAAAAGAAGAAGAAGAAGATGATAATACTTTGTCAATTACACCGATCAAGTTATCTTGATAGATAGATTTTGTCATTATAATTGATAAAGTTGAGTGACTTAACTATTTTATTTTATTTATAATGAATAAAGTATAGTTACTGTAAATGTGAAACAAAATAGTTTTATGGCTTTATCATTATAGTGAGTATAATTGTTGTTGTAGGTAAGTTCTGTTAATACGTGATATGTGCCAAGAAAGTTGTTTAATTAACTATACTATCATGTTGAATAAAGTTCAATAAACATATATGAAAGTAGGGGTGTATAGGCCAGGTTAGTTGAATTTTTTTAAATATCACACTAAATCAATTATGTTAGGTTTTAAAATTTATAAACCAAACTAATAAAGTTGGAATTTTCAATTTTGGATTTTTAAAATTTTTTCTATAAAATCTTAAATAAACATATAATTAACTTGTATACAATTATCTTAGGTGTTTTTATAAAGAAAAATAACATAAAACGGGAGACGAGTTATGACAAAAAAATATAATAAAATGACATAAACTAAGTTATACTGAAAATCAACATAATCGAAAAGTATTAAAACATGTTGAAATCAGTATGGATAATAAGTATTAATTACATGACTAAGGCCTCATTTGTTTTCATTAAGATTAAGACCTCTGAATATGAATACGTCTGAACATTAAGATTTGCATTAAGAGCTAGGTGTCTATATCTGAATACACATTTGAATATTAAGATGTGATCTCCAACTCTGAACACTGAATGATTATTGTTTGTTTTCAATATCTGAATGTGCATATGAAATCAAACATTATATTAATAAAGTATTATAAAAAATTCATTTCAACAAAAAATATTAATTTTTGATTAAAAAACTATCATAAATCAAGCATAGTATAAAAAAAATCACGAATAAAAAGTATTTTATAGGCACAATATAATATCAAAAAGTTCAATAAGTATGATAAATACTAGTTGAAAAATAATAAATAAGGTATCACATTATCAATGCCTAACATATATTTTGGCTAATTAGAAAAACTAAAAAATTCTTATTTTTTTTCGATAACCTTAATCCAATTCTCTAAGTTGTGAACCTCTAACGTCATTTTTGTAGTGGACACTTTCACAAAATATACGAACACATGTACTGTATAATGACTCTTCCCATCCAAGTCCAACTAATTTTTCCATATATTCTTCAAATGTAGGTGCACTATTTTTTTAATCATCTTCTCATCAATTTCCAATTCAGACGAATACGTTTTTTTTCTTTCCCAAAACTTTTTTTCCAGCTGAAACTGAAGATTGGGATGGAGAATTATTAAGAGCTCCATTATTTTGGTCACCAACTAGTTCAACAACAATAATATATTAGTGTTATCTCACAAACGGATTTGATGATCAAAGAGTCTTAATTAAATTATTGGTCTAAGACAAAATTCTAATAAGAGACCTCAAATATGTATACATAGTTATTATTTTTTAATTATGAATAGCATTTGTTTCACTCAAAAACCTTGATGAACATCAATACACTAAATATATTATTGCAACAAGTGTTCTTGACAAACATCAATACACCCTAAGAAAATTATTAGTATAAAAAAAATACTTGTAAAGATTATGAAAACTTTAATAGTTCAAGAGGAAAAAAATGGTGTTTGATTGAGAAAAGAGAGGAAGAAAGTTTGTAGTTGTAAGAGCAAAAGTCACGCAAAGACTAAGAGAGGCGATATAATATTATTTTATAACTTATTTAATAAGTTTGAATGGTGTTAAAACTCTCTTGCAAATCTAATCCGTTCAGACCTTTTTAGGTCCATTACTAATCTGTTCAGACCTTTTTAGGTCCATTAAGAGGCTTTTTGAAAAAGGAAACAAATAGACTTAATGGGCTTAATTGAATCATTCAAATTCAGACCTAAAAACCAAACACACTTAATTGACTGAATCTGAATGATTAAGATTCAAACCTCCATTAAATGCAAACAAATGAGGCCTAAATATTAAAGGAAAAAAATTAAGTTATGTATTTTAGTTGTCTAAATCAATGGAAAATTAAAGAAAGAGATATTGAGCAGTATTGTTATTCCTAATGTAAATTGAATTTCTTTTGTTAGCATTGGTATCGATTAGGTTTTGGTTTGGACTCTATTTGAATTACTAGCATTTATGGTCTACAAAACATACTAGACCATTCATGAAATTCTAAATCCAAACTTTAAATTTGGTGAAATTCGGATACATTCCAAAACGTCCCAATATATTGTGTGCGTCCCGATTTCGAATACGTCATTCAACGTCTCAATACATCACGTCTCGGTTTCGGATACATCACTCAATGTTCCGATACATGATACGTCCTGATACATCACGTACGTACAATGATGTATTCCATCGATATTGTGTAAAGTGATGTATCCGAGAGTAAGATTTTTTATAATTTTTTCAAAATGGTAGGAATTTTTAGAGAATATGATAAAGTAAGTTGTGTATTTAGATAATTTTTCCTTTAAAAAATTCTAAAATATTTATAAATTAAATTATAATAATTTTTACTAGCATAATAATTAAATTATGATCGAATTCTTTTTTGTCAATATCAAACCAAATCAAATCAAATCACTAGTCAAAAATTTTTCTCAATTAGACTAGAATTTTCAATTTATGAATTTTCTTTGTACACCCCACAAAGACATTTAAGAAATGATATGTTTCAACTTTGAAGACAAGTATTCTTCAAAAAAAAAAAAAGTACTCTTCAAAAATGAGTTTTTGGCTAAAAACATCCTCCAACTATACCCCAAACTTAAAGTACATCCTTGTAATATCAAGTGAACAAGGAACATCCTTCAACTATTGAAAATCTAGCAAGTTTCACCCTTCTGTCAAGAACTGCTTGAAATCTAACAGAGCATTTTGAAACTCATGTGATACTACCATAGTTTCCCTATTTGAAACTAGGTTCTTTTTTTTTTAATCATAGTCAATCTTCTTCCTCCTTAAGCTGGTTAACCGGTAGAATCAACATCGATCATCTCTAAATATCAGTACTTCGTCTTTCTGCTGACGCCATTGAGTGCTCATAGTGAAAGAGCAGAAACAAAATGAAAGATGGAAAATAGGAGATTTTGTAAATATGTATTATAATGTGAATGAAACGAGAAATATGTTAGTAGCATTACCAGATGAAATATGCATACGATGTAATTGGATTGACATTTCTGACACTTGCATGATTTTATTTTTTTGCCAAAGCATATACATATACATTAGCATAATAACAATAAGTTGTTAGCTCTTAACTAAATTTTGATTGCTAAAAATAAAGAACCAAATTGAGAGGGAAAATATTTCATGTTTTTGTAGAATATGGACACTGTTACCTTCATTGGTTTTGGATCATTATCGGAAAAAAACTAACTATGCTTCCTATTGCCTTTAATTTACCTTCTTCTAATTAAGAGTAAAGACAGTCTGAACAACACATATACCGCGTATGAAAACAATCATTCTTCATGTTCTTGAGGGGTACTGGGTTTCAGTATCTGCACGTTTGTATGATTTGTCTTTGCATTATTGCATCACAGATTTAAAAATGACCGGGGAGGGTGGTTATGGAAAATGAAGCATACTTCAACAAATGAAAGTTAAAATTCATATTTCTGAGAAATGAGAGAATGTGAAGTGTTCAAATCTGAGGAGTTTTTAGTGAATTTCACCCACTCCGTTAGATTTTTAATGGTCTTTAACTAATGGATGAAATTTGTTAATGTTTAGATATTTGAAGGATGTTTTTTGTTAACTATGATATTACAAGGATGTGCTTTAAGTTTAGAGTATAGTTCAAGGATGTTTTTAGCCAAAAACTCCTTCAAAAATACCCTAGCATTTATCATTTAATTAATTACTGTAAGCTAAAAATTTGTACGTCCTAATATGAAAAGCATCACCAAAAGGTTTATGGCATGCATGTTATCGCGTAACAATTGCAGTTGGCTCTTTGCTTAGTAGTTGCCATTATCAAATCTAGTTGAGTGAGATAATCACACAAATCATATTCATCCTTATGTTGTCACATCAAAGTCAATTTTCATAAACAATTGCTTTGTCGAAGCTCTATCAGCACAATTCCATCACCATTCATTAATAGTGATGCCAGAGTTCCACATCAACCTCCTAATATCAAAGCAAACCTTCTAACAGAATATCTAGTTTCTAAATCATTTGCAGTAATATTGTGGTGATCAAAGAAGGGTTACAGCGGTTGAGAGCAGGCTGTGTTAGGACAAGTAAAATAGTAATATGGAAAGATGGCAAATAATGGGGTGAGAGATAGTTTGAATGCGATATTTCATTTGTTCTTTGTGGCATACGAAAAGAACTCATGGTGGTCTTCAAATAATGCTGCTTGTGAGAGTTGAGAGGATCAATTATAATGATGGTAATTGATTTGGAGAGATGATTGATAAGGTTGAGAACAAAAATCTGCACAATTTCAAAAAATTCATAGGCAAATCTGACCACTTCACATAATTCAAGGCAAATTTGATAGTTTTCCTCGTACAAAAGTCCTATATGTTGAAAAGCTCCCTCTGTTGGTACATAATGGCATATTTGAACCAATCTTATAACGAGGGTATATTTGGCCTCAACTACTAACAAATGGCAAGTTTGAACATTTTCCCTTCACAAAATGATCAATCAGGTGTCATTGGCTCAACAATTCACTATGGTAGCTTTGAAAGCAATTGATATATAGCCTCAAACTATAATAAAAACTGCAGCACTCATCTAATGAAACTCATTCTGTTGTGATGTATGATCACCAAGAATGTTAGACCATTTTCTAACTATTTTACATCAACCGGACTGTTATACAAGATTTCACAAGTACAATAGATCATGTTAAAACATGAGCAACCAAAAAACTTATACAAAATGAACCTCAAACAGAAGATTTGGAACCATCTAGCAGTTCTCTGAGGTCCCATTGGACGAATCCAGTTCTGTCTTGCATCTGTCTTTGAGGTCGGTCAGTGTAACTAAACTACCTTCCTGTAACAGAAAAATGAATACATCATCAGGTTCATACTAATGCTGTTTAATTGAGCTGGGAGGGGGTGGAGAGAGAATTGGGGTTTGCATGAGTGGGAAAGTGTTTGTGCAGAAAGTAAACATGATGCAACTAAGCATCATTTACAGATTAAGTGCTTGCCTGAAGAACAAGGTCAATGTGGCAAGATCATGACCAACTACTCTAGTTTAACATGGAGTAGCTTCCATCAACTGATATTTGCATTAACAATGGTTCAAAGAAATTAAAAATCAGGAATTAGACAAGGTTTTTATTACTTCACTGCCAAAACATGGCATATTGACATGTCTTAAGCATGCATGTTTCTTTTGAGGGCAAGACCAAATTGTTTAGGGCTGCCAAATAGCAAAAGAACAGAGAATAAGAAACGGAACGGTGAATCAAACATTCAATGGTGAAGTGATACTCGTGTATTATATAAATGTGATATTTATACAACTTCTTGCATTTTTTTTTCAAATTATTTTCTTCTTTCATTGAATTCATTATATCAATGTATCTAAGAAGCATAAATCAGGGTGGTGACTAAAAGAAAATAAGTAACAGAACATTAATTGAATGGACTTTCTAATATTCTCTCTAGTTGGCAGTTCACAAGTGTAACTACATCTCTAATCACTATTTATTGAAAGAACAAAGTTTTCAGAAATGGAAAGAACATGATCTCACAAAACACTGATATGCTTATTGATGTTCTAACAAGTAATCTCTGGCTACTGGTCCTGACAAACTCCACCAGGACAGTAAATTAACAAAGAGACTGCTATGAATTACAACATGGCTAATATGTCGGGTTGCAACTTGCAAGTAGTGTCAATCCCCCATTCCTCCGTGGGCAATTGACAGATTGGGAATGTTCTATTTTTCAGTAAAGAGGTAAAGAGACACTTACTGCTTCCTGTCTATTAGTAACAAGACAACATGATTTTCAAATTGAATATTGAACTTGGATAAAACATTTGCTCTGCACATATTTCAAAATTTGAAGATTACTTTTTGAGAATGAAAAAAAAAACTCCAAACTTACGTAAATGTTTGAAGATTACTAAAAGATAACAATCTTCTAATTTATGAACCATGTGCCCATCAAAAGGCAAAACATTAGCTCTGCCCATTTGTCAAAGTTTGAAGATTTACTTTTTGAGAATGAAAAAAAAATCTTCAAACTTTGGCAAATACTTGAAGATTACTAAAAGATAACAATCTTCTAATATATGAACAATGTTCCCATCAAAAGGCATACTGATGGAACAAGTATGTGTCCTCGACGTGAATGATCCAACTAGTATAAAAATACAATGCACCACACCAAAAGCTCTAACAATGGGAGTTAACTTTGATAAAGAAAAATCTTTCAGCTGGATGGTCAACAGAGAACATCCATCAGCTTGACAGCTTCACAACTCTCAGTTATTATATGTAAAAGTTGAATTGAGTATCTATACCAACTCAGAGACTGAACAGGTCAGTTAGCAAACTTACTAGCTGGTCAGCTTCCCGTTGAAAAATGTGCTCCATGTGTTGAAAGAGTGACTTCCAGTGACCCATTAAACTTGACTCAAGATTTGCTGCTTCAGTATTCTTTTCTGGACCCTCCTTCTGAAGCTCTTTACCCTTGCCACTTCTTTCAACTAAAAGACTTGCTTCTCTCTGACTCTTCTTTATGGCTAGGTATTTGAAAACAGTATTTGAGTAAACAAAAGAAGCAAGGAGAAAAAGAACAAGGATCTTAAGTTTAATTAAGTAACTAAAATATTTTTAAGCTGGCTCACCACTTATCCGACCCTTGGTATCCTGGTAATGTAGGTCTAACCATATATAAGCAGCTGATTATCACAGAACAAAGAAAACTAAATCAACACTCCACTAAAATGAACTGAAACAAGACGGGATATAAGCTCAGAAGGACATTAATCAATATAATGGTCTGCGAGATATTTTTACCTTTGGTGCAAAAGGTACAAGAGCAAGCTTTGATTGACTCAATGCTAGCACTTAAACCTGAATTATCCTCACAAGTTTGTGTTCCTGTACATGTCTCAAGTTTAACTCTTGACTCCTGTGAATCTGGCAATCTTGCCAAGTCTACTGACCCAGACTGACTCATAACCAGATTATCAAGACCAAGTTCATCAGGGCCATTAGGAAACATATCCTCACTTTCAGTGCCCTCACTATCCTCGTTAATTTCACAACTCCGGGCAGCATCATGGTCATCAGTTCCGGACAATGCTGGCACTGGCACCCCAGTTACCAAACCATCCATATCATTTATAACTTCAGAATTTTTCTTTGGAATTATTTCCCAATCATTGACAATTTCAATAGCACTCCCACAAGCATCATTGTTCTCGTTGTTATCTCCGATTGTACTTTGGCAGATAGCAGTAGCTGAATCAACTCGCAACAAACTGGGATCCTGGTTGTCATTTGGTATATTTGAAATCCCTGATACAACATCTACCTTTATTGACTTAATCTTGCCACAAGGCCGAGGACCAACACAAACACGTTTTGCATTATCTCCATCATCTACCAAAACAACTTTACCCCCTAGATTTTCATTTCCCTTATCTACACACTTTAGACTTGAATTCCCCAAAAGTGCAGAAAATGGTCTCTTGTTTCCAAGCTGATTCGTTATATTTCCCAAAACAGGACGACTTTTAGGACACCTTTCAACAGCATTATCTTCATCCATCCTGCAATCACTAATCCAACATGAACCCTACCAACAAATCAATCTTTAGCCCTAAAACACATAAATTTCCATGACCCAATTCTCAAATCTACTACAGTTGATGAAAAAATCTTATATTTGATACAGACCAACAATAAAAATGAAAACTTGATAAATTTAACACATCTAATCAATACTAATCACAGAAGCAGCAGCTACTGTACAAATTAAAACCCTAGAGAAAATTTGGGCAAATCAGAAGAACAACAAAATTAACAAACTTTAATTGAAATTATAATGTACCAATCATCAATCAGGTTCTTGGATACTAACCTTGAGAAAGGGATTTAACACAAAATCCAGAAAGATTGATAGAACCCAATGTACAGTGTTGAAATAAAAATATTGAATCTTGAATTATATTAAAGCATCTCCATTGATAAAGGTGGGTTCTTTTTCTCTTTGGTTACAGTGGATTTGCTACACAGAAATGAAAATGGTGGAAGTAAAAATCAAGTTTCAGCAAATTTGTGGGGCGGGAAATCGAATTTTGGTAAAATTAAGGGTCTTTAAGTTTTTGGCCCGCCTTGTATGTTCAAAACCTATTAACAATGGGCGCGACTTTCTTACTTGGAGGGAAAATGATTGGGCCATTATTATAGTATAGCCCACATTAGATGGGCTGGAAATTCAATTGAATCATATGGCTGAATTCATAGCATAAAATGGACCTAACTTACCACTATTTGTTGAGAGTTCGGCAACATGTATTATATTAGGGGCAAACTACATCAATCCCACTACATTATATCCTAATTGCTATGATTTTCGATAGTTTCAAATATGACTTTATTTATCATATTTCGTACTTAGAATATATGACTCTGAATCCACGAGATATGTGTATCTGTCAAATTTTTAAACCGAGATACATATTTTATTTGTTTAAATTAATTGGTTGTAACTGATTTCCTTAATTAGAGGAGTAATTGAAGATTTTTATGATACTTGAACAACTAATTCTGAAAATTTAAATTAATCAAATTTCTTAAAATAAGGCGGAAATCAAGGAGCGTATCTATGTTTAATTAACTTCATTTTATTATTCTTTGAAATAATAAATTCATTAATAGAATTGTTTAGTATTAATTTTGTGTATTTGTTATCTGTATATTGTATTAATTTTATGTATGTAGTATTAATTTGATGTATCAAATATCAGTTTCATACGTTATATCCAAAAACATGTATCTCGAATAGATAGTAAGCATATACATCTAATTATGTGTATCTATATATGGAAAATAACTGAAACACATGAATTTAGGAACAAATCATAACTGTGAGTATTTGTCGTATCATTAATCCAAAAAAGATAGAAAAATTCAAAATTCTTCCCTTTTTTTAGCATCTGAAATTGTTTTATCATAGATGTATAGTATATGTCGTATAATATGTTGCTCGTTATGCATACGATGGTAGAGTATCTATCGTATCATATATTGCTCATTGTGCTTAGATCCGACAGACATTCGTCATATCCATCAAAATTTCCACTTTTTCATCCCTCCTACTAATGAAGATTTGAAGAAGGCCCTCAAGTATCGGAGATGAAATTTGAGTCAACTGGAGAAGGGAACTGTTAGAGAGAAACCATGACTATAATTTGGCAAGAAAAAAATACAAATAAAAACTAGGACATAGCATAAATTTCCATTAAAGTCATACTCTTTGCAGTAAAATATATGAACTATACTTGATTCTTAGGAGTAAAATGGTTGATTATTCGCTTATTAGTGGAGGGAGAGATGCTGATAAGGTTGGAGATTGAGGGAAGTTGATAAGAGAGAAAAATATTTGAATGTTATTAAAATGTTAATTGTGGAATTTAAATAGAAAGATAATTAATCAATTCTTATTTTAAGGGATGAGTATCTAATTGTATCTTCAATAATATAAGGCATAAAATACTAAAAGTAGTAATATATGTAATTGTTTGATAGTCGATGTAAGATTAGTATATATGGTAGTGATGTATGTCTAATAAGGTAGTTTATCCTTATATTGCAGACTTAATTGGCATAAAATAGTCTTACTTTGTAATGTTTGCATTATATATTTATAGATGAACTACATAATTAGACATACTTCATTATCATATATTCTATTATTGACTATTTTAAAAAAAATATTATGTGTCTTACCATTAATTAAGAGTTTACTATCATACATTGAGGAATATACATTTAGAAACATGTTTTTTGCTACCAGACATACTAAAATATGAAGGGAAGCGGGCGAGATTTCGTTATGTGTCCCAAATACATGTGAATCACATTAGATACATATATTTGTATGTATCTGGTGTGATTCGCATGTATTTGAGATACCATATACATAGAAGAGTGGTGAAGAGGGGCAAGGGAGATGAGCGAAATTTGTCATATACGCAATGATTTATTAGTTTAATCATATGAGTATTAATTATGTATATCAAAATACAATAAATATATCGCACAATATTTACAATGTATTTGGTCATAGTTGAATAATATAAATACAGTAAGAGACCTCTATAAGGTGAATTGTTGCACTTATGTACTGATAAATTATTTTTTATTAGCTACAATACATTATCTTGATATTTAATTGCTATACTGTTTATTCTCTAAAAAACATATTATAATAAATAGTAATAAGGTATTGACAATGTGTCTGGTGGCACACTTGTTAATCGTTACTTGTCATTTCATTTGTATACAAACTGTCATAAGATGAAATAAAAATAAACGTGTGTCCTATTAATTTTTAAGTACGTTTAATACAACTTCAGGAAAAAATATTTTACTCAGTATGATTTTATGGACTGAATACAATATTGAATATAATATGCCATTATTCTTAGGCTAAAATTGCTAAACAAAATATTGGGTAAAAAATATGTCAATTTTACGTTAGTTCTTCAAATTTTGATTTTTCAGTAGTATGTATCAATTTCTAAGTCTATTCCTTCAGTATGCACCTAATGAAATGGGCTATTTTTTTAATTCAGAATAAGTTATTTTAAATTTGTGTTTTAAAGTTTAATCCAAAATAGGCCTGATTTCATGCTTTTTGAAGTTTAATATTTTTATCACCAATGAAACTAAATTGAGTGATCAACTCTTTGAAATTCTTTGTTGATTAAGTCAATTTTTTATTTTTATTAAAATAAAATTCAGTTTGCCAGTCTTTTATACAAAAAAAATATTAAATTGAATGGTAAATAAACCTTTACAATCTGTGTAAATGATTAAGGAAACGTAACAATAATGTTGTTAGTGTAAGTGTGCAGAAACACGATATGCAACAATATGAATTGTATAAAAACACCTTATAGAGCCTCCTTAGTGTTAGAAATCCACCAATGAATTTTAATTTTTCTATTTCTTTTAGCAATATGAATTGTATAAAAAACACCTCATTAGTAAATAAATAATTTTAGTTTACTATTTTTTAGAAGAAAATAAAATTAAAATTTTATCACTAAAATGATCACTCAATTCAAACTTGTAACCTCATAGGTAAAAGAAACAATTCGTATATGTTTTAAACTACTTAATTGAGAGTTTAATTAATATAAATTCTTAATATATTTTTTTATACTATTATATGTAGGGGTGTGCACCGAACCGATAAAAGTGTTATTGGTTTATTGTTATTGGGTTATTGGGTTATTGGATTAACGGGTTTTTAATGGTTTTATAAAAAAAAAATTTGGTTATCGGTTCGGTATTGATTTTTAATATTGGGTTATTCGGTAAACCGATAACCCATTAAGATAGACTAGTAATTTACTACTTTTATTTGTACATAAAAATTATATATTAATCTCAATACCTTAATTGTTACTATCTTTGTCCTTTAGCCTTCAATTCACACTTCACAGTGACTTCGAGATCACAATTTCACATTATAATAAATGTTAAAATCTAAAATAAGAACCTTATTCCTCTTAATTTCTCTTTGTGTTACGCTTGTATAGTTCTTTTCATGTTTGTTATTATTGTTTCTATTTTAGGAGCATTTGTAAAGTTACATTATTGAGTTTTAGCATCAAATTTATTAGAAAAGTCATATATTTGTTTTATAAGTATTTTCTTATTGGTTAAACCGAAAACAGAACCGTTAAGGACCAAAATCAATAAACCAAAAACCGATAAAAAATATCTTATTGATTTGGTTATTGGTTTAACATATTTTAAAATTAATAAACCGAACCAAACCGACCGATGCACACCCCTAAATTTATATCATTTAAAAGATATTCATAAATAAATATTTAATTTATAATCTCAAAAAATGGGTCAATCATCTATTATAGTTATGATATAATATTGTAAAATACCTGCTATAATATATAATAAATACTCCTTCCGTCCAACAATAGTTGTCCACTATACTATTTTGGGATGTCCAACAATACTTGTCCACTTTATGAAATCAATGGATAATTTTACACTAAATTCCTATTTACTCTTACATTAATTATTGTCATTTTCCTTTTACATTTTTCAAGACCTTATATTTATTATATTCAAAGGGTGATATAGTAAAATAACCATTTTATTTATAGTTTCTTAACAAATCAATAAGTATTGTTGGACAGGGGATCGGAGTATGAAGTAATATACAAATTAATAATAAATGATCATAAAAAATACAAAGCAAGAAATAATAAAGAATTTTAGTGTAACATCAAATTGATCAAATAGTGGTATCACATATGAACGCACATTATATTACGCATCTCAATAACTCAAAACAAGAATGATGTGTTTGCACAATTTATTTTTAGGGAGAAATAGAGAAGTATTCTTTTTTAATTTGTTGACTCATTCATCCTTTCTTATTCACTTTATCTCCAAGACAAATTAAACTTCAGGGTTCAATAATGGTAGAAATTAGGGATACCAACTCATGTTATTTTCATGCTTGCCTCAAGAACATGATCGTCCAAAATTACATTAACAAATTTTCTATTGTCAGTGGAGATATAATGCACA